AGTCTAAAAATGTCGAAATGGGACCACACAAGCCCCACATACCGAATATGTGAAACCCAGTGCGTATGGCTGACTTTTTGCCAAAAATATCGGTCAAACTGTGATATACCAAACCCGAGTATAATATTGAAATTCGGGGAAAATTATTTTTTGATAATAGTATACCCTTGTGTCAAAAAGGGGTTGAATCGAATCACTTCCTTTATCACCGGTATACCTAATATAAAGACCTTCGAACGTCTAGTCATATACCAAAACATATCGGCCAATGTGCTAGATATTTTAATGAAATTGAGAGAGCGTGTTTTTCTAATAACAGTGTATCTTTGTGCCTAAAATGGATAAAATCGGGCGAAAACTTGTTTTAGCCCCCATATAACTGATATTTACAATTTTGAAGATCTGGTTGACTTTACTCCATATATAGAATGTTTATATTTACATTTTATATTTATAAAATTTCTTGAAAATAGGTTCTCAAGTATACCTGAGTAATGTCAAAAATTAGTGCAATCAGCCCTTCCATTTCTCTGCCTTCAATGATTTTAGAATAATTTCCCCTGACGGGAAGTATTATATAGTAATAAAACTAAGGGATTCTACGACCCTCAAAATAAGATAATATGATACCAAATTTGATTGTAATCCATTCACGTCGAACAATAAAGTATAACCCTTTCGCAACATGTTAAATATTACCAATATCCGGCTTTGACCATTGCAGATTAACAGTTTGAAATGTTCGGTTACTCCCGAACTTAGCCCTTGTTGTCCTTAGCCCTTACTTGTAATACTCTCGCAACCTTAGATGTAGGACTATACCGGTTGACTGTCTGTCCGTCCGTCTGCCTGTGGTATCGTAAGACAGTTAGTATTGCAGATGGACGTAATCGGACCACTGCCACGCCCACAAATCGCCATTAATTAAAAATAAGTAAATTGCCATTACTAAGCTCCACAATAAGATACAAGACTGTTATTTGGTATACAAGATCACATTCGGGAGAGGCATCTGTACTTCATTTTTTGTTTTTAAAGTAGGCGTGATCCCGCCCTCTAAAAGGTTTAATGTGCATATCTCCTCAACCGCTAAAGCTATAATAACAAAATTCATTGAGAACAAATGGTTTTAGCAACTCTATCGACGGTGTGAAATCGGGTGACAACTTCCAATCCCCATATAACGTTACCGTTAAAAACTACTAAAAGCGCGATAAATCAAGCACTAAACACGCCAGAGACAATAAATTTTATCTCTTGAATGATATGAGATTACTTTATAGGACCAGCTTTTAAAATTTAGACAGTGGGCGTGGCATCGCCCACTTTTAGGTGAATAGCCATACCTGGGGATCTGCTTAACCGATTCCAACCAAATTCGGTACATAACATTCTTCTGATATTTCGGCGAAATCGGATTACAACCATGCCTATTTCCCATATAACATTATTCAAAATTCCATCTGATTCTTTCACTTTCCACTATGCAAATCAAGCAACAATGATTGTATCGGGCTAAACCTTTGCGTGAATAATGCGTTTAAAGTATGCCACCTTGTGACCAAAAATTCTTTAAAGCGAACCAAAACTCTTCAAGCTCCTAGGTACTGAATATGTGGACCCCAGTGCCTATAGTTGACTTTTTACCGGAAATATCGGTCAATGTGTAAAATATATAATTGAAATTCAAATATTAAATGGTTTTTTCAGTAAATATCTGAGCAACAGTTAATACTAATTATTAAAATATATAAAGAGATATCAAAAGAGTATACCATTTTACTCTGCGAGAGTATAAAATGTTCGGTTGTATCCGAACTTAGCCCTTCCTTACTTGTTTGATTTTTTATAAAAAATAATATAAAAAATGTAAGTTTACTATTCATTATAAATCAAGTTGCAATATTTCACTTAAGCGGGTAGAGTTTCAAATTTTTCAAATACTCAATTTATGATATCGAGTTGGTTCCTAAGTACATACGTAGGAGTCAAAGGGCCAAACCACTCAATTACCAACAGAGTTAAATAAGTCTCTTCATGTGAAATAAGTGTACGAAAATGTATGTATAAATTCACTGCAGTTTGCCAATTACAGCAATGAAAATTAGCTTGTGCGCTTCCTCATTTAAATAAGATCTGAAACTGCCGGTGTTAAATTCCGAAACCAAGCGAAAAATATTCAACAACAACGAAATGAATATGTTGTCTTTCGCTTGCGAAAGTTTCTGTGAGAAAAAAGGAAAAATTGACTACGACGGGCATTTCTTGTATCAGTGAAATTTATGCAACATGCAAGGGCGTCCTACATATTGCAACTCCACACATTCCACACACACACGAATAATAAAATAAAAAAAAAGGAACAGAGAATGCATAAACGGCAAGCCACACGCGTTCCCACTCTTGAGATCCGGCATATATAAATGTGCCACACCACTGTGCAACTTGGTGGCGAAGCAATCAATGGGTTAATGCCGAAATAATTTATAGTCTCGTTACCCATTTGCATTGCACTGCGCTGCATTGCAGCAACATATTCCTGCACTCGGCGGTGGCTGCCACAATCGTCAGTCGGCAGAGACACATGCACTCGCCGCGGCTTTGTCGTCAGTATGTGCAAAACGTGAGGTTGAGTACAAAAATGGAATACAGGCACACACTCTCACCAGCAGTCGTGACTCAAACTTATTGGGCCCAGTTCGGTGATTGTTGCATATAACGAACGGTTGCGCATCTATTTATGGCTTTATGTTGCACTCAAGTGTATCCTTTTTGAAGAGGCTATCATTGAAAACGAAGTGGAATTTGAAAAAATGTCTGTGTGAACCTGCCGGTATGCTCACACCGTTAGAGTGTCATGCCGTTGGTTAATGCTGCTGCAGCGTTTCCTGTTTTCATTTTGCGCGCTTGTTGGTTTACATGGACCTTTGTCTTTTATTTGTGCGTTATAGCGTGTTAAGGTGCGTTTGGTTTATTTTGAACGGCTGTTGTGTACGCAGATTTCGAACTACACCGTTCGCTCTTTTCATCCCTCAAAGCACTGCTTGTTCTTGTACTTGCCATATTATCATTGTAACTGTTATTTCTACTTTCCTCATACTCTCGTTTAGATTTTTTAGATTTGCTGTTGTTATTGTGGCTATCAGTTTCTATAACTTGCTTTCCATCTGCTACCACGTTTGTTTGCATTGGGACTTCTGCTCGATTAAGCCGGACGGGCTCGCAGTGGGTGACTGAGTGACTTTTCCCACGAAACACTCTGGCCATTTCAGCTCTTACCACTCTCGGTCACGTGTTTCGTCACGTGTTTACCGCGCTGCAATTACATTTTCAATATTCTTTTTGCATTTTTTATGACTTTACGCTTAGTCGGTTTGTGTGTTTACTATTCACTTAAGCAGTTATTATTTATTTATAGATTTTCTAAACTGCGTTATGACGGCCACAAGAGCCGACTTAATTACGGAATATCTTCTTTTGTGGTTGATATCGATTTGAAGTGGCAACGGCAATGATAATAAACAAACTTCTACATACATATATTAAATAACTCTATTTTAGTCACGGTGGGACTGTTAGGAAGAAAGTCGGACGGGTTTACAGCTTTTTTGCACACTTTAAACTAAACTACATACATATGTAAATGCAAATACACAATACAAAAGTTTGTAAGCGTCATACAGTTAATGTCGCATAGCTTCAGTGATGGGAGATTACTTAATCGAAAGATTAATGATGCTTGGTCGTTTCTCTGAAATTATAGTTTTGTTTACGAAAGGACTGTCTGCCTCACGTCGGCGGCATATGTATGTATATACATTGTCTAAAATAATTTTGTATGCGTACAGACGCCGCCCGTCATCATTATAGCATAAACACAATACGGGCGACGGTGAATATTCGTCATACTGGTGATTCGAACATACGATTGTATATGAAGATTAACACAATACGCGACGGCGCGCTTTTCACGCGAATTTCGCCCACCATGACGATTTTTGAGATAGAGCTATTTCTAATTTTATCGCTGACCGCGGCGGGAAAAACGGCATCGCCATATCAAAAAAGAAAATTATTTTCAGTAAAAATATGAAGGATTTTCAAAAAAATTTAAGAAAATGTCTACGTTGGCAATATTAAGATTGTTTATGTTTGGTTTCGTCATTTATTGTGATATTTTTGAGCGCTGAATATACAGTAGCTGCGACGAAAATTGTTCGTATTGTGTTTTACACGGCGGTAACACTCGGCGTAAAATCCGTCCGACTGCGTCGCCGAGTACGACGAATATTCATCGTCGCCCGTATTGTATTTAAGCTATTAACCTAGTAACACCATCGTTTCGAAGAGCTTCTCCTGTTTACATTTATCCACGCTTCGTCGCGTTTATGACAGGCGTTTATTCAAATGCTTATCATTTCAACTTAGTATTTAATTCGAATTCCAACCACATAATTCGCTCAATGGGTTTCATTTGTAATGGACCATTGTCTTATCATAAGGGTGAGTGGCGGGAGTGCTATATAATTTGCATTCATCAAAAACTAACTCATAGAAAAGATCTAGATCCCTCTGCTAGGGAGTAAAATTATGATCTTCCACTGAGTCGAATACTCTGACCAAATTTATCGGTGCTAATGAAGAGAGGTGTTTCTCTATTCATAAATTAGCCTCTGCTTGCTCTATTTCCAAATATTTTAGGAGGACGAACACCGTTTTCCACCGCTGAACCTTAATGTCGAAATATTTTTCGATATTGCAATCTGATTTTTCATATATAGAGGACTTTACTTCCTGAATCTTTCTATTTACATTATGCTTAGATGAACCGATGCCCACAGCGCTCTTCTCTTGGAAGCATAAGTACTCAACTAATTCTATGCTAACTGAACCTTTTCTACCGAAGCGGTAATTTTAGAATTAAAAAGTCAAAGAACCTTTACTGACTTTTTCCGACTAAGAACGCCGTCCTCTTGTACATTTTAAAAAACTCAAACAAATTTGCAGGTCTACGATTTATTTATGTACCTATAGGTTTACTTTTATTTTGAATATATTGGTTCACCTTTTCTACATGCTATGACAGTTGCACCCTTTTCCTCCACCGCCGCCTCTACCGCCAGGATATAGAATTGGCTGTATAACCAAAGTGGGTTGGAACACCTTCGTTGGTGGTGCTGGTTGAGTATAGACTGGTGCTGGATGCACTGGGCGTGGTGCTGGATGCACTGGGCGTGGTGGTGGATGCACTGGACGTGGTGGTGGATGTACTGGATGTGTTGGTGGATGTACTGGACGCGGTGGTGGATGTACTGGACGCGGTGGCGGCGGGGCGGGATGAACAGGTGCCGGTCGGGGCGGTGGATGTGCGGGATACGTTTGCACAGGTACTATGATGATTTGAGGCGACCTTTGCGGTGGCGGTGGTGGCGCTGGATGGTAAACCACTGGGGGCGGTGCAGGTGCTGGGTGGTATACAACTGGTGGCGGTGCCGGGGCTGGATGATAATATGCAGGCTGTTGCGGTGCGGGTGGCAGAAATGGATTCTTTTTAAAAGTACCACTTACTCTGGAAACAGCCAAACTGACTAACAGAGTTTTTAATAATATTGCGAGTGGATAAATCCGTTTCGTTTGATTCATGTTAGCTGCTTCAAGATAGCTGATTACTTAATATTGAAGGCGAATCGCCGATAACTTGGAATTTATACAAAAATCTTCTTCTACTTCGTAATTGTTATTGGTGAATCGTTTCGAAGAAAAATTATTATTTTAAACAATTAAAATAGAAAACTTGTAAACAAAGTTTTCAATAATACCAGCATTATTATTTTGTTAGCAAATTTCGTATGGGAGTCCCCGGTACTCAATAATCGATAATTGAAAACTAATCATATATGAAATTCCACTAATTATAATATCGCTGTAACACTTAGTAATTTAGTGATATAATCTTCATATAATGTAATATAAAGTTAATTATGTATGTTACTTAAGTGTGATCTCAAGTACCACGAAATGACTATAATGTGTTTTCCCTTTACCAAAGTAAAAATATATTTTTTTTCTATTCTGTTTCTTTGTGATTTATGTTTATTTTAATATTTATTGTGATTTGTTCGCGTTGCTCATTTGCCATGATGGCGATCAAGTTGAGGCATTAGCTCCGGCTCCCTTACGTTAAATAACCGACACAAATGTGACAAACGTCACAACAAACTTTATGATGACAACACATTTGGTCTGTGTTGTCAGATAATACACAACGAAGCGATTCGAATGGGTATGAAATGAAATATAATGAAATGAATGTATTGTGTATCTTGATAAGTGGCTGAAAGTGCATTCACGCACAATTACGAGCGAATACCTCAAATAATAATGACCCAGTGATGTCAGCAATATGGATTAATGACTGCAAGAATATAATACGAGGAAAAGCAAATAATGATCCTGTCCTAAAATACTGGGTTGTTTTTAGAGATGAAAAGTGTTGCATATAAAGATGTGGAATTTCGACGCTGTATTGTCAGAGAGTAATACATATACCTATCTGTATATTTAATCACTTAATATAAAATTTTCGAATTTAGTTCGAATGTGATTAAGCAAACTTCCGAGAACGTTTTAGATAATATTTTATAAGACATTTTCGCATATAGCTCTAAATATGTTTCAGACTTAATTTATCCAAAGCTATAATTTATTATTTGGCCATCCTTAATATTATTGTATTTAAGTCCGTACTGCTAGATCCGGCAAATTTTGTACCGCTGATTAGTCTATAGATGAACTGATACTTTACAGCTAAACTTTATATATAATGTGATTAACGAACTAACATTAAACAAAATTATCAAGTTTATTTGGATAATATGTATATATGTATGCAATAACATTTCAAAAATCAAGTATTCCAAAAGACGACAATACATTTGTTTTCTTGCAGCTTTATAGGTATTTTGCTGCCTGGATTACAATTGGATTCTTCCAAAAAAAATAAAGCGAGGAGGTTTTCTTACATGTAGGTATATTCTATGTTGTCAATTTTGTGGTGGAAATGTATGATAAATCGAACAAAAGTTGTCAATATTCTATATAAAGTATGAAACATCATAAAAATTTTGAAAATCGAGGCACATCTTATAGCGACATCGCTAAAAAACTAAAAAGACAAAATCGTAATTGATATTCATATTTGAAAGATATAGTCACTCTTTATCTTTGTAAAGAAAACCCAGTAGTGGTAGATAACAGGGATTTGAATCACCGATTACAGCAAAAAAAAAATGTTTAGTTATTTGGAACGAAATCTAGGACTATTGCCAAAAAAGTGCAAATTTCACCTTCATATGTACAGAAAGCACATGCCTATTTTTGATTGCGTTGTAATGGAGGACGATTGTTACGTAAAAGAGAACTTTAGACAAATTCTACTGCACTAGTTTTACATATGCAAAAGAGGAAACGTTTCCGGCAAATTTAAGAAACAAAAAGCTCTACAAATTCCCGAAACAAACTGTTTTTGGCGGCTATTTGTCAGTGTGACTTAAAAGTAAACGATTTATCAGGTATGAAAGTATAAATCATTTACAGAAGCGTATTTTGCCTTTAATTAAGCTTTAATGGGTCCTTAGTCTGGGAAAAGTGGCTTTAAAGTGGGACCAAGACAATAAGAAGAGTGGGACCTGTTCCTTAAAAGGCGAATCTGAACTGGGAATTACAAGGACATTATCAAAGCAAAACTATTAAAGACCCAAGAAGCTGAAAAAAATGAAAGGCAGGTTATTCCAATCCAATTTTTTTCGTGCACATACTTTGTTATTACTATTAGAGTTATATAGATATATGATATACATAAATGATCATAGTGATCAGCCCCGTCCGTCTGTGTAAGTGATACCTTAAGTACAAATTAAGATATCTTGATGAAACTTGATACACTAGATACAAACTGCGAGTTACATAAAAGGTACCTTCACCCTATTACCGCCTGGAATGTGAGAAGGTGAAAACAGGTGGAAAGCGAGAAAGAGTGGAGTAACGTGACTGATATGTTTTATTTCGGTTATTTTCTATGGGCAATGAGAAAAAGTCATTACTCATATACAGATGTACCTCGTACTGAAAATTAAAAGATAAATTATATTATATTAGATATTGATATAATTAAAGTGCTGAAATAAAAATTGAAATTAATAAAAACACAAAAAAAAAAAAATGAAAATAAATCATATATATAGGTATAGTATATATTATATATATACTAGCGGACTAGACAGACGTGTTAAGATAGTTATGTAGGTTAGGAAAATTTTATGAAGAAGTATGTAAAATATTTACTTCGAAACAGTAACAAATTTTAAAATAAATAGTTTTAAGTAATATCCGTAAAAAGAAAGTAATGGATGTACCAAAAAGTAACAAATGTGTTCAGCCGGCCTATCTTTTATGAATCTTCAATTAGATATGTATCGTATAGAGCAGCATAACAGTATGAACGTTTAGACCTTATACACTATACACAAGTCTATAGTCTTCATAGTTTAAACTATACTTATGCTATTTAAACTATACCTATCTATCAGGCGCAACCGAAACTCAAATATACTTTTGACTATCTGACACGACTGCAGCGCAGTCTGCCGGAGTTCTAATTAAAACTTTCTAACATCAACAACAATTTATAAATAAATAAACTCATTGTTAAAATATTATCTCGTTGCGAATCTAAACCATTCTCAAACTCCCTTGAATACACACAAGGAATTTCATCAGAATCGTTCAGCCGTTTAGAAGGAGTTCAATTACAAACACTCATTAAATAAGAAATCACTAATAAGAATACACTAAAACTAAAAAAGTAGTTATACAACAACCAAAATTTCGCGACTCACCGTTTTTGGCCCTTTAGCCGATGTTCGAGAATTTGGAGAAAACCAGAGGAGCCGTTCCTGTTCATTAAGTATGGGGATGAACTGCGAGCAAATTAAGCTGAACGTAACTATATTCATTTATAAGACTTTAAAAAGAGCAAACTTATAGACAAAGCAAATATTCCATTCATAAACAACAATAAACCAGTGTATTGGCTAAATATTAAGAAAATATTAACATAAATGAAAGTTTCGAAAATAATAAATAAGCTACCAAGTAATCGCAAATTGGTTCTTCAAGCAAGGAATCGAACTAGTTTACTTAAAACTAAAGAAATGGTAATTGAAACCGATTGTTTTTATACTCTCGCAACCTGTTGCTACAGAGTATACTAGTTTTGTTCACCTAACGGTTGTTTGTATCACCTAAAAATAATCGAGTTAGATATAGGGTTATATATATATAAATGATCAGGATGAAGAGACAAGTTGAAATCCGGATGACTGTCTGTCCGTCCGTCCGTGCAAGCTCTAACTTGAGTAAAACTTGAGATATCTTTATGAAACTTGGTAGACATGTTTCTTGGTACCGTGAGACGGTTGGTATTGCAGATGGGCATAATCGGACCACTGCCACGCCCACAAAATGCCATTAATCAAAAACTAATAAATTGCCATAACTAAGCTCCACAATAAGATACAAGACTGTTATTTGGTACACAGGATCACATTAAGGAGGGGCATCTGCAGTTAACTTTTTTTTTAAGTGGGCGTGGTCCCGCCTCTAATAAGTTTAATGTGCATATCTCCTAAACCGCTAATGCTATAATAACAAAATTTACTGGAAGCAAATGTTTTTAGCACTTCTATTGACGGTGTGAAAATAGTTGAAATCGGGTTTCAACTCCGCCCACTCCCCATTTAACGGACTGTTAAAAACTACTAAAAGCGCGATAAATCAAGCACTAAATACGCCAGAGACATTAAATTTTATCTCTGGGATGGTATGAGATGACTGGGCGTGGCACCGCCCACTTTTAGGTGAAAACCCATATCTTGGGATCTGCTTAACCGATTTCAACGAAATTGTAGTGTATAACGTTCTTTTTATATTTTGATGTCATAGTGCGAAAATGGGCGAAATCAGACTACAACCACGCCTACTTCCCATATAACACCATTTTAAATTCCATCTGATTCTTTCACTTTCCACTATGCAAATCAGGCAACAATAACTGTATCGGGATAAAACTTTGCGTGAATAATGCGATTAAAGTATGCCACCTTGTGGCCAAAAATTGTCTAAATCGAACCAAAACTGTTTAAGCCCCTAAGTACTAAATATGTGGACCCCAGTACCTATAGTTGACCTTCTACCGAAAATATCAGTCAATCCACAAAGAAATCTCAAACGAGTATACTATTTGACTTTGCGAGAGTATAAAATGTTCGGTTACATCCGAAGTTAGCCCTTCCTTACTTGTTTTAATATATTTTAATTCTAAAAATCAACAAAATAAACATCAATTTCAATATATCATAGAATGATAATATTAACAGAGATAACTATTTTGGTAATAGAGATAACAAATTTGGATTTGGTTTGGAGACCTTAAACAAAATTCTAATACTAGACATATATCAATAACTTGAGGATAGATACACATTCACATGCACTAACAAATTCAGGAAACTTTAATCGACAATTTACAAACACCAATTACTATAATCGTACGCCATCTTCCATGACTAAATAAACAACTAATAGAAACCGAATATCTTAAATTGAATATTCAAGGTGAAGTACAAGAAAATTTTCATATGCCAGCCACAGATCTCTTCCCTA